GAGTGCATGACTGCTATAAGCGTCTTAAATCTTGTATTGGTCAGAGAGATGGCGGCGGCCGCTCTGCGAATCTTGAGCAAGCTTATCGCTCCCTCATCTCCGCTTCCAGAGGTTTATATTCTCTCATTCTTAGCCCTCTTTTCTGTTTTATCTCTTCCGTTCGATTTAGTTTTACCGATTGGATGATTGAGAATCTGCCATTGTCCTGGAGTTGTGGAGTTCAAATTTTGCTTTTGATTGAGTTTTGTGGTTTTAGATTTCTCTGTATGAGAAAGAATACTTCTTAGTTGGCTACTCTTAACTGAATTAAGTGAAGATTAGGGTTACAATTCATTAGCTCTAGCATTATGACTTCTCTGCCACAAATGTGAATTCTAGAGTCCGGTATTGTTGTTCCTTAGTACGCTGCACTAAATTGTGTATTTGTAGTTAGGATATCACAGAATTCATTGTTCTTAGAGTCTCCTGGCTGGAATTAGATTTCTCAACCATTCTCAGACGTGATAAAGCCATGTATAAGCTGGTTGGAGCATCTGTTTCTTGCCCATGTCACACTGTGTCAGCTTTCATGAGTTCCTTCCATTTAATATTACCCTCCATAGATTCCTTATGTATGTAGATGCCAAAAAGTATCAGTATCTAGAGTTTATTTATTTATTTCTCAATACTTGAGAAAAGCCTGCTCTTGTGGGGTTCACAATCTGTAGTTCCATTCATGTGTTAGGTGGGGATGGTGTGTAGTTATATGGGAATCATTCTACGAGAGGAAATCTAGTGCAACAGATTAAAGTTGCAAAACTTTAATTCTAAAGGTAGAATTTGTAGTTGACCTCCGGAATTTTCAGCTTGTGTGAAACTCATACACAGTTTAAACTAAGAATTCTAATCTCTGGACACCTCCTAGAGTCATTTTGTGTAAAAGAATAGAAGCCTTAGATTGAAGTTTGTTGGAGTAATGATTTAGTTAGTTGCTTATACTTGCAGGTTGTACTAGCGTAAAGCGCCTTGTGGCTGATCTCGTTCCTCGATATGCACTGTACTGTCCTACTGCTATCGCAGATGCAGTGCAAGCTGTTATCGACATGCATAACTTCAGCTTGGAAGCTTTGAAGAGAGGACAAGATGCTGATGGTGTTGCTTTTCAAACTGCTAAAGCCTGCATATTTGGTCTAGTTGACCTATGTTCTGCTGCTTTATCAAAGAAAACGTCATCACCCGGGGCTCGTGAAATCTGCTCTGCTGTGTTCAGAAATGTGTTAACCTTCTTTGTGCTGTCCTTTGAGGGGAAAGATATCTTCCAGATAGTTGATAAGAGCGATTTGAAGGTGCAAGATCCTGACGAATTTTTTTCTCAGCTGATGCAAAAACTTTCAGATGGAAACTCGTTACCTTTGATCAAACTATCCCAGTTTCGTGTTTTAGCTTTACTGAAAGTATTCTTCAACTTCCCTAAAAAATCAATTGCCACTTGTTTCGGATTCTTCAATTCTTCATCAACGGAGGATGTAGCCACGGGGAGGTATCTCATTACTCATATGACAGAAAAGATTAATGATATTGATGCCGCTAGTAATGAACCTGAAGTAGACGAGAATTCTGGTCAGACAGGTTCTAACAATATAGAGGCTACTGGTAAGAATGCAGAAGGGTTGAATGGGGTCCAAGAAGCATCCAACAGTCTAACGAGCTGCTTATTAGGAATGGTAATGCTCTGAGTAGTGTAGAATCAATATAAGTATCATTTTCTTTTCTTAGTTTGTTCGTATTTGTGTAGGGCTTTAGTTATTATTATTCCCTGTATTGAGCATCAACCGTGTCACTCATTTTATTCGCTTGCTCTCTTCTTGGAACTCTGTATGGGTAATCTGTATTGGGTGTATAAAATTCTGATAGTTTCAAGAATCTTTCATGCAGGTTACTAGGAAGAGTTCCTCCATTGGTAGGTGGGCCTTCTTTCAGTATAAGAACATATGCAGCCTGTCATCCTTCGTGGATATATCCAGTGCTATTCTTTCTGTAGAGGGAATCTTTGGATTTGTTGGAAAAGATATCAAGTTAGAAGATTGCCAAATGGAGAGTGACGAGGATGATTATGGAAAATTTTCAGTTTCACATGTGAAACCCCACAGTTCTGCAGACAATGATGTCCGCTCTAGTGCTGGATCGGTTTATGATGCTGGAGGTTCACGATCTATGGATTTTGAGACTGTTGACCAGAGAGACTTGTCATGTGGTAGATCTTCAGTCCCAAGGGGATTAATAAACCATCATACACCATCTCCTTCTGCTAGGGGGCCTTCTGATTTAAGGAGTAACTCTGTGGATCATAGGAACAATTTTGTTCTTGCAGGATCACCTGTTTATCAGGCAGTACCCCATGGCCCTTCATCAGGGCAAATTGTTTGGTATTTGGATGGGGACCCCACTGCTTTTGACATTTTTCCGGCTTCGGGGCAGTTGTGGTTAGGCTATTTAGGACCAGATGAAACTGAAGGTCATCTAAGGTTTCAGCTTGATAGGTACGGCCCAGTAGACCGTTTCTTTTTTGATCCAGTGAAAGGATTTGCCCTAGCAGAATATAGAAGTATAATTGATGCAATCAGAGCTCGAGAATATCTGCGTGTGCAATTTCCTTGGCGCATTAAATTTATGGATATAGGAGTTGGTGCAAGGGGATCTTTGAATGGAGTAGCATATGGTTATTGTACTCATTTGTATATTGGAAGCATCAGTAGCCAGTGGGAGAGGGATGAAATTGTCCACGAGTCACGGCAAGCTCTATATAAGGGGCCTCGCATGGTGACTGACCTGTACTATGAACATGCCCTTCTGATGGAGTTTGATACACCTGATGATGCCGCCATTGTAATGGCCCATCTCAGGTTTTTTCGTGGAGAAAAGAGTAAATTTCATTTGGCATCAATCAATCGTCCTTTGCCTCATGAAGATGGAGGAAGGTTTGTCTCCGCTTCTTCTGACCTATGTTTTCTTTGATGATTTTGAAGTTGACATTATCAGTAATAATTAAATATCCACTAGACTTTGTATATTCCCACACACTCTGAAGCGTTCTGACTTTGGATTAGTTATGACCTTCATGTTGTTACCCGCTTTTTTTTTGTCTCATTGGTTTGATGTAGAAGTTTCTTGTCTGAACAGTCATCCAGAGAGGCACCTTCAAATACCTCCCTCATCAAAACAGGATAGTGGATCAGGAGAATATGTTTCCCCCTTAATGAGTACGGATAACCACTGTATTTCTGTACCTCCTGGAGCTACCTTTCAGCAAAACTGGCCTGCATCTGGTAGCACTCTTGTGAATTCTGCACAAAGAGGTTAGTTTTGTCTCTAATCTTTCCTGAATAGTGAATGCTTTTTCACTTGTGACTGAAAAGGTGTACATGAAATTAAGACAACTATTCCTCAGTCTCAGGAACTCCTCCATGTGTGCCCATACCAGCTCCAGGACAGCCTGCAGTGCCTGCTACACCGACATCTCAAATCCCTCCATCTCCGTTTGTTCAACAACCCATTTACCCTCCTCCAAACAGCTCTTGGGATACAAGATCTCTAATCTCTCCAAGCGGTGATGCTGTAGCAACATCATCACAGATGCAAGGACCTCCAGCGCAGCAGGTTTCAGGTCCATTCATGCCGCCTCCTGTGCATCCAGTCTCTCAGACACAAGGACCTCAAGTTCAGCAATTTGATCAATTGTACCCACCTCCGCCTTTAGGACATTCATTACCCTCTGTAATCCAGCCACCACTACAACCTCAATCCCAGCCACCAGAACCACCGCCTGAAATGATGCCGCCTCCGCCTCAAGCTCCACCACCTCCTTTGCCTCATTCACACCCACCTCTGGTTCCTCCTCCTCCTTTTTCTCCATCATCGTCCCCACGCATACCTCCAATGGTCACCCAGTTGTGTGGACCAGAGGCTTCCAAACAGAACATAGGGCACCAATGGCAGGGTGCTTTGTCCAAAAGTGGAGTTCATTACTCCACCATCATTGCACAGAGATTGGAATCAGACATTTGCAAATATATCATTGGATCTTCAGAGCCTGTGCAGTGAGTGACAACACTTGATTTGTTGTCTTGTGTTCAAATTGTGTCTTTCTCTATAATCAAGTGATGTGCTATGAGAATGAACATTCGTTTCCTGTCTTTTTACTTCGTGCAGATGGCCAGTTAAATTGGATATGACCAAGCGCACGGATATGAAGCACGTAAAAGCTACTTTTGCGAATACACAACCACACAAAGTGAGTTTCAAACTCCTTTGCCAAGTACAATTTATTTGACTGCAAGCTTTTTTCTTACGATTTAAGAAATGTTGTTTTGCAGAGGGAGGTTTGTCAGTTAATTCCTGCTACTTTTAGCGATCGTAAAGGGGTATGTGATCACCTTTACAAACCCTGAATCATCTAAACGTGCATGACACCATTTAGTTCCTGCGTAAATATATATTTTTATCAAACTCATATTTGGTGGCAGCTCCAAGATTTCATAACATACTTGAAGCAGAGAGATTGCGCAGGAGTAATAAAGATCCCTGCATCAAGTCCCATGTGGGCAAGGCATCTCTTCATTCTTCCGCACTCGCAAGAGACATGTTCCTTGCTTTCAGTTTCCCCGTCTTCCTCAGAATGCTTGATCGGTTTGGTTTTGCCCAAGGATACAAACGCCGAGGCCTCATGACACATAAACTAGTGTACCCCGGAACAAGGTAGAATAAATGAAGACTCCCATTACTTATGTGCTTAAGATAGTAGTTCTAAATGAATCACATTGTAAATGAACTTACTAGTGTAATCTCACTCTTTCTTCTCCCTTTTGAGGGTTGTCAATTGTAGATTTGTTTCAACGATTAACTGTCTCATCTTCCTCTACATAAAAGAGTCAGTAATTTGGTTAAGGTTTTGTGAGTATGCGTTTGGTTGAAGACATTCTTTGAGTAGTAAATCACGGTTTAAGAAACCGGACCGGACGGGCGGATTAGAAACACAAATTCAGGAATGGTGAAACGCAATTTTTAGTAATCACAAACGCAAACGCTGTTCAAGGCATCCCAATCGTTCAAAAGTGTATTGTTAACGAAATTGACGAGTGTGCGTATATCAGCGGCTGCGCCTTTAGCTCCTCCCCCCTCCCGCCCTCTTCGTCTGAATTACAGGTTTACTCCGGCGAATCATCTCTTCTCTTCCATCGCCGATCTTCTCACAGAAACAACCACCATGTCTAACCGACGCTCGAATAGGCAAGATGAGAACACAAGATACATCGCCAAGGGTCATCAGCAGCAGAAGTTTGTACCCAAACCCATGAATCCAACTCCTACCTCTAATTCTACCCCTTTCCCTGTTTCTCTCTCTTCTTCTCTTAGGCAATCAGATTCCTCCGGTGCGAGTTCCAGAGTCTCCGCTTCGGGTGGTAGTAGGGTTAGGATGGGGGATCAGGGACAGTTGGTATCTAGCAAAAGCCCCGCTCAAGGCGGTGGTAGTTTCGTGAATTACTTGCCGCAGGACGAGGCTGTAGCCGCTGGTCTTGGACCTGATGATGGAGGTTTGGATCCAGTGGAGTCTCAGGGAGTGGTGGATCTCCTCAATAGAGAGCTCACAAGGCTGCTTAAGCTCAATCCTAGAGATTTTTGGAGAGAAGGTCATTGCTTCTTTTGATTTTATGTCAGTTTGGTTCATAATGTCTAATATTTCTTAGTTTAGCTTTGGTCTCTCGAGTTTCAACTTTTTGTGATGGATTTTGGGCTGAAGTGACTTCTCTTGATTAATGGCAGTGGCTAGTGATGCATCGTTGCATGATTTTCTGGATAGCTTTCTGCAGTTTAGAAGCAGATGGTATGATTTCCCATTTCATGGTGTCAAGGGGATTGTTGCCGGCGTGATTGTCGGAGAACTCGAGTTATGCCGCCGTGTTTTCATGGTCTTGTATAGAATGTGAGTCGCTGCTTGTTTCATAATCTGAAGCTTTTTGTCGAATAGTCTTTTTCATCATGGATATTCGATGTTTTTTGGTCTTGCAAGTTGAGTGTTTGTATATTCGTTGTGGCAGATCGTCTAATAGGGATCCCGGTGCTAGAGCTTCTGATAGCCTCAGTCAGAAAGATCATGAAGGTGGCCTTTTGCTCTTTGTCTATGCTAATATCATTCAGTTGTTGTTATTTATTTCGTTCTGAAAAAAGGAAATGAACATAGAATGAAAGATTAACATGCCTCAATGTTTATATTATGTTATTCCGCCGTGTTACTAAATCTTAGGCTATAATTCTTTTGTGTCTCATTTTCGGTGTAAGCTACCTTTCCTAATCTAAACTAGAGAATGATTCGCAATGTTTCTTTTCTTACCAAGTCTCTGGGACTATTATACCATCTAAAGCTTAAATAAATTTCCATTATTCACTCAGGGGTATAGTTAGAAGTAGGGACTGTTGTAAAGGGGATAAGACTATTGTGATTATTTTCACACAGTGATTTTTTAACTCATGGTTAGATTCCTTTACATGTTCCATTTGGATTTTGGAAAAGCTTTAGGAGTATTATATTGGTAGACTCCTTTACATGTACCATTTAGATTTTGGATAAGCTTTACGATTCTTATGCGTAAAATTGTGCTTATATTAGTCGACATTTGTGCTCAGGCGAGTTTGATTGTAAACTTAGCTTGTCGGTAAAGGATTATTTCTTAGACCAGCTCAACATAGGTAACTGACTAGAGTTGGTTAGTCTTGGGCAGGGTAAAATAGAGCTAGCAGCAGAACATGTGGTTCTTCTTGAATATATTGGGAATTTGGATTGGTTGTAAGAATCAGGTAGTGAGAGGAGTCTTCTCATTAATTAAGACTTTCTAGGATGAATTGAGTTTTTCTTCTTTTTTCTTTTCATTGTGCCTGACGAGTTTTGTAGGAACTTTTAAAGATTGTTTTCTAGCTTACCAGTGTTGTTTGTAGTTCTCCTGCAGGACAAGAAGTTACTGGACTTGCCAAAGTTATTGGATATATGTGCTATATATGGACATGAGAATGCAGAGCTCACAAAATCCTTAGTAAGTCCTTGGAAAATTACAAAAACTTGTTCCGAAAGCAGAAATAATCTCTAAACTCTGCTCATCATTATGTTAGGTTTGATTATCTTTTTTTTGACATTTGACATCCTGGATTCGCAATTGCTTCTGGATAATAAAGCTGAGATAATGTTCTATACTTTTGCTAATCTAGTTGTCTATTTTCTCAGATTGAAAATGCTGTGAAATCACAAAACGGGATTCTTGAAAGTTTGAATAGGATGTTGTCTCATTTTTTGGGCATCCTGCACACAATGCATCACCGTTGCACCTCATCTTTGGAGGTATGTTATATGTATTTAATTTCAGAAACTCCACTTTGGGAGAAATTAGTAAAATTAAAGGTGTATAACTTTCCCTTGGATCTACTTTCGTATTTGCAGACCTTAGTATCAAGTGCAAATAGTGAAGACCATGGACATAGAAAACTCCATTCAGACCTTTTGGAGGTGAATTTCCGGCCCTTTTTTCTATTAATTTCTCTGTTGTGCATTTGCTTCTGTAGACACACGACACTAGTAACATGTTAATTATATTCGTTTCAGTTCTTTAAGGGTTAGTTTCAAAGTGCATATAGTTTAAACATATAATTTAAAAACGTGATACATGACTTGTTTGTGTTGATCTCCTCCCAGATATCTATCTAAGTCCTGATAAGGTTTTCTTTGTTAGATAGGACATGCATATTAACTGATTATTCTAGGTTAAGGAAAGATGAAGCTTCCTTTAGGAATTGGCTTTAACATATATTTCTCTTTTAATATATTTCATCTTTATTATGTTTTTGACATGAATACGTGTGAGTGAGCATGCAGAAAGTTGCATGAGCAAAACGCAAGTGTAAACACTCTGAACACACTCAACTGTTCAAAATATAGCATGCCAAGTTTTTTCTCTTGTTGTAATTCATAACATGAACACATGATTTTACTTGTTTATATTGTATGGGCATGTAATGCATCCATGCTAATGTTTTTTTCTATCTGATTAGGTTATGGACTTCATTAATGATGGAGTTGTGTCTTTGGATGCTTTCATTTCTGCTTATACACCCGCAGTTTTAATCTTAGCATGTCCTATTGAGACAAGGTATGCACCATCTTCTATCGAAATCTTTTAATTTCTCTTGTGAGAGAAATGTACTCTGAGTAGTATCTTCAAATCTTGGGTCTATCAGACATGATTAGTTGACATAAATCATCTGTTACTGGATTTGTATTGAATTCCACTATGAGATTCCCATGATTGATGGAAAAAGAGTATTAATAGTGAAACTATGGTTGCTATTAGTGATCTATATTTGGCTTGTTTTGGATTTGTTTCTATCATAACCTAAATCCATCTGTGCAGTTATGGGAGCGATGAACTTCTCGGCAGCCTTGTTCGGTTGCATGATTCATTGCTTCCGTCACTTCATCGTGGGTTTCAGGTCTTGTTCAAGGATAGAGACCGTGATTCTCTTTCAGACATATCAACGAGTCTAAACATGTTATCAACAAGGATAGGGAGTTTATGTTGGAAAATATTAGATATCTGTTATCTCAGCAATGATATGTTCAATCACGAAACTTTAATTCCAGCGGTCACAAAGATGTTCCCATCAAGAGTTGAGGACCCTATGGTAAGGGCAGATATATTGATCCAAACATTCAGGGAGATCAGTGGACTTTCTGAGCAGTCACTGGAAAGCAAGAACCGATTACTCCAAAAGATTGAGAAGAATTACAGAATCATTGATAGACTTAGGAGTTTACAGAATGCAGGTATTTTCTTCCACAATTTGGTTCTGCCAAGCTGTTACCTGATTTTCCATGTCAAAGTCGATTCCAGTCTTTAGTATGTATGGTCTGTTAGGATAGATTGTGTAGTTCACTGAAGGTGAAATAAGCAACACATTAACTTCACTGCTAGCTAGTGAAATTTTCTGCATAAGCTAGCTCTTTGTTTCTGAATGCCATGAGTTTAAGCAGTAGTCTAAAGCAGCTTGTTATTGGTTTCTATGCAGGATGGGTATCTATGGAAGATGAGCAGCTTCAATATTTGTCCATGATCATGTTGCATTCTGCAGACACTTTCTCTTTGAAGGAGTCGCCGCTTCTTCTAACTGATGGTAGAAACACCGAAGAGCTTATGGATGAAAGTGCTGTAGTTATGCAATCCAAGATCAGTCAAATAAAAGACATATTCCCTGAGTATGGGAATGGTTTCTTAGCTGCGTGTCTTGAAGCCTATAACCAGAATCCAGAAGAAGTTATACAGAGGATTCTTGAAGGAACACTCCATGAGGATTTGCAGCGATTGGATACTTCACTGGAGACGATGCCACAACCTAAATCTGCTCCAACTCTTAGAAGCAAAGACAAAGGGAAAGGAAAGCTCATTGAATCTGACACTAGTAGCTCTGCTATCTACACAGAGCAACCGATCACACGTCCCTCACTTCCAGCTTCATCAGCCTCATCCACAACGGTTGGCAGATTTGTCAGAAAGCCAAAGGATGATACTCCAAGCTACAAAATTCTCGATGCTAGAAAAGAATCCGACAGAGAGAGGAACACAGCCCTACTTGCACAATACGAATACGACGATGAATACGATGATTCTTTTGATGATCTGGGCTTGAGTGTTGCGGAGTCAGGTACCGAAGAAAGTGGGGTGTTTGGTAACAGAGCTGGATCCGAACCCTCTGATGCTACGAAGTGGGGTAGCAGAAAAAATCCTCAATTCTATGTGAAAGATGGTAAGAACTACAGCTACAAAGTGGCAGGTGCAGTTGCGGTGGCAAACGCAAACGAAGCTTCACTGGTAAATGAAGCAGAGGGAGATAAGATACTTGGGTTGGGACGTGGAGGAAACATTCCTCTTGGAGCGGTTAGAAAGCTGACAGAGTATCAGGCACAGAGAGATGAGAAAGGTCAGTCTAATGTGAACGTGAATGCGAACCCAAGCGATGGAAGAGAGAATGGGAGAAACTGGAGAGGAGGAAGGGGAAGAGGAAGAGGAATGGCGAACAGAGAGCAACCGCAGGAAAAGAGTAATGAGAGTAATAATAACAACTCAGAGGTTAATACAGAGGCGGAGAATGGAGGAGGAAGGGGTCGAGGAAGGGGTCGAGGAAGGGGAGGAGGAGGGAGAAATCATAATCATAAAGATAGAGCTATGAAGAAACATATTGCTAGTGTTTCTGGCTTCTAGATGTTAGAAAAATAACAAAAAGCACAATACGTTTTTGTGGGTCTTTTTTTTTGGATACAGGGGAGAAACTAAAAAAATTACAAAACAATACTTCATTTGATTGTAATGCTTGTCTCTGGTAATTAAGAGAAGAAAACTAGCATATTATTATTCCCTTTAGTTTTGGTTAAACAAGTTTCTTTTGATATATATGCAACAGTAATAACCATTCCAAATTTCCAATTGAACTCACTTTGTCCCAGGTCTATCTTCTTCTTCACGTAAAAAGCGAGAGAAGTTTTTACTTACAGCGTTGTAAATTTGTAATGGCAGTAATTAGTCGCAATCATGAAACGAATAGCAGCATTTTTTTATACGTGTGTACAAAAAAGAAATGATTTATTATCCATTATTTTATTTGTGGTGGATAACGAGTTTGTGAGGTCTACGTAGCACACGAGAAAGTGTGCATCCGGAAATATTGTTATGTTAATTATCCACGTGATTAATAATATACTACAAGTGGAAAAAGATAAATAAAAAGGAGAGCATCCGGAAAAAGATAAATAAGGATTAGCAAATCGCCAAATCCTAAACATGTGGAAAATATTGAGAAAATTTAATTTGGATTAGGAGTTTAAATAATGGACTTCCTAATATATAAGCAACAAATTCGATGGCGATTAATCATTAGACAGAGAAAAAAAACGAGAGAATTATACAAAAGCTTACGACGAGAAGTTTTTCATTCAAAATTTTAAAAGCTTACGTACGAGGAGAAAGATGATCATCAAATCCTACAAGAGAAACACGATCCGTTCGACGGGAGGGAACGCGGCAGCACTAGCATTCGTTTCGGTTCATCGTGCAGAATATCTCGGTATGTTTTATGATTTTATGATCTAGATTTTGACCTCAATTATAGTGCATCATGATGTTTTAAGTTCAATATATCGATTAGGAGAAAACTACATGAATATAACCTTTAAACTTTTTTTTTTTTTTTGACATACATAGAGAAAAGAACATTAAACTAAAACAAATTCTAAATTGTTTTTTTTTTGTTTTTTAACTTCTGAAAACTTTTTTAGTTATCATAGTAGCTGTCATTGTTTACAAAAGACCATAAATAAAACGGACAAGAATTATATAAAACCTATGCTCGGTTCGCCGTTGTCCGCGCAAACATTTTGTTCCCGGTGTTTGAAAGTGAAACTTGTTGCCGTAAAGCACTTGCTCCACTGCTGAATCTCTCGGATATAGTGTTGCAGCCTTAAATCAACTTTGTCCTTGTTGATGGTGTTGTTCAAATTAAGATTATCTCCTTCAAAGACGACGGTTCTATATCCCAGAGCCCATGTTGCCTGTATTGCCCATATGAGAGCGGAACACTCAGCTTCTTCCGGACTCACTCTACCTTGGAATTTACCCCATCCACAGTGTAGAAAGGTGCCATGTGAGTCACGTATGATCCAACCTAACCCCGAGATATCATTCCCTTCACGATGAGCAGCATCGTAGTTACATTTAATCCATCTCCTCTCAGGTTTCGTCCATCGCCCTGCTCTTCCTGAGGAGCGTGTGGTACTTGGCGTCCCATCGGTTTTAGCTTTTCTACTCTCTAGCCATTCTTTTTCTTTTGTGTCCGTTGTTGCCCTAACGAGATTAGTGAACACAAACTGGTATAACAATTTTAGTCGATAAAAAAAAACTACAAAGGTTACCAATTTTCGATACTGCTTTTGTAATGATCGATAACCTAACCATGTATAATCAAAGCTAATGAAAAAAGGAAATTGAAACTAATGAAAAAATGCTTTGACAAAAAAAAAAAACCAATGAAAAAACAAGGAAATCGAACGAAACTTGAACTTTTACCAAAAAAAAAAAGAAAGAAATCGAAATTGTAATCACGTCGGCAAATTAAAATCTAACGGTGAGAGAGAAGCCACGTGTAAGAGGATATTCCCATATGTGAATGGGATTTAGATTCTTGTCCGATTTCAGCGAGAAGAGAGTCTTGGTACGCCTCTCTCTGTATATATAAAGGTCATCACTTTCCTCCTCACGTTTCTTCCTTTGGCATAGACGAAAGTCTGAAACTCTTCTCTCTTGACCTCTTTCTCTCTCGATACCCTAAATCAAAATCGCCTCTTTAATGGATAAATCGCCTCTCCGATCTCATTCTTCCAAACTTTTATTGCTCTTCTTTTGTAGTTTTCGTGCTTCGATTCCTTCTTCAGTTGTTTCCCATCGTCGTAATCCTTCTACTTTTCAGTTTCTCTTATAATTCCCTTTGAATATCGTTTTTTTTTTCCCAATTTCCGCAAATTATTGAATCAGCCGCCGATAAGACAAAATCATGGGGAGGAGTAAGATTCCGTTCTTCAATTTCACCTGGATTTGTTTGTTTTAGGGTTCAATTAGGTTTTAATTGATACTAATTTACTATGAAATCTCTTATATAAATGCTGGAATTTTTGCAGAATCTCAGCGTAAGAACGCGACAATGTTTGATAGTGATGATGATACAAGTAGTGTAAGCTCTTCCTCCACCATGCCATCTGAGAGAGTGTTGAATCCTGGCATGGATGATGTTACGGTTCACAAAGATGCTTTGTTGGATCAATCCCTTGATGCTCTCTATGAGAAAAGGTCTGTCTTTCTCTTTTTTTTTTTTTTTTGCTTTATTTTGCTTTATTCTGATATTTTCGATTCTTTTGTGGATGTGAAGGAGTTCAACTAGAGAGCAAGCTTTGGCCTCCATTGTTGATGCATTTAACAGCGACTTGCAGTATGAGTTTGTGGAAAAGAAGTAAATATCTGATACTCTTTCCTTCTTTAGTTTTTAACATCCACTTTAAAAATCTTGTCTAGTTTAATCATACACCATACAGAATCAATTAACCGTCAAGTGTTTCTTCTTAATGATGCAGGTTTGCTACTTTATTGCACCAGTGTTTACACTGCACTAAGAAAGGGTCTACTAAGGAGACCGCTTTAGCATCTCATGTTATTGGTGAGTCTCTGAGTAATAGACAACTCATGCATCATCTTCAGCAATTTTTCTATTGAATCATAATTACAGTTACTCGAGGTGGTTGCAGGGTTGCTAGCATTGACTGTTGGACTCGGCGAACAAGCACAAGAGATTTTGGAAGAATCTGTCACTCCTCTTTCTCAAGCCCTTAAATCTGGTCGTGAAATCTTGAGAATAACTTCGGTATGGATGATTAGATAATTGATCAGTTTGTCATTACTTTACAGGTTTCTAGATAGTGTTCATCTTGGATTCATGGTTGTTGATATCCTGCCATTTCATTGTAGATTCTTGAGTGTTTAGCAGTCATAACCTTTGTTGGCGGGAATGATCCAGAGCAAACCGAGAGATCTATGCAAATAATCTGGCAAATGATCCACCCCAAACTAGGGTCTAATGTATGCATCTTACTTTCTCTCATATTACGAGTCTTTTCAATTTGATTTATTAAGAAAGTAGATTGTTTAGTCTAAAGTATAAAAGTAGGCTCACATGAAGGTTGGCGTTTTTTGTAGGTTGTGGCAACTAAACCTTCACCTGCTGTAATAAGTGCTGTTGTCTCTTCCTGGGCGTTTCTGCTCACAACAGTTGATCGGTGGACGCTAGGTCCTAAAATTTTTCAAGAGTAAGTGGAGTGTCGTACTTTTCTTCAATCTAATCTTACTTATTCACATACATATAAGCTCATTGAATATTAATGTCGTTGCAGGACCGTAACTTATCTCTCTACACTGTTGGAAAAAGATGACCGATCTGTACGTATAGCTGCTGGTGAAGCGCTTGCAGTGATATATGAGTTGGGAACTCTAGAGAAGTTTGCTGCCGAAGTCAAAGGGTCTGCTAATGGATCAGTGAAAGAAGGAAGTGTGTCCCAGGAGGCATTGATGCACATGCATGGCTTGAAAGCTAAAGTCACTAAACAAGTTAGAGAGCTCTCTGCGGAGGCAGGTGGTAAAGGTTCTGCTAAGAAAGATCTCAACACCCAACGGAATTTGTTCAAAGATCTTGTTGAATTTCTTGAGGTATATCTTCTACACCTTTTCTCCTGTTGAGGTTTAAGTTCGACTTTTCTGGTCGGATTTTATATATGATATGTTTTAATTATGATTAGGATGGGTACGCTCCTGAAACCTCAACAAAAGTTGGAGGGGACTATTTACAGACGTCAACGTGGTATCAGATGATACAGTTAAATTATTTGAAGCATTTCCTTGGGGGCGGCTTTATTAAGCATATGCAGGTCTGTTTTCTTATTTGAACTTTATTCAAGTGTCGACTCTTAAGTGTTCTATCATAATAAAGCTGACGCTGTGCTGTTTCTTACAATTTGGTTATCAGGAGAATGAATTCCTTCATGATGTATTTAGTTTCACTCCAAAGAAGATTGGTGGAGGAAAGTTGTCTAATGACGAAAAGGTATGTTTCCGGTATCTTGTATCTCTATTCGCTGTCTCGGATCTTTATCCCATTGTACAATGTTTGCTAACGAAACTGGATTTTTGCGATTATTTTGTTGCAGAGGTTGTTTAAATCACCAAACTCAGCTCTCAACAAAGCAAGAACGCAGTTCCTGGCCAAGCAGAGGATGCTAGCTAAGGTATTATAAATTGTGATTAATCGTCTTATCTGGGAATTGTGTTGTGCAGAGAGAATAAGAAAGTGCGTTTTGTTTCCAATTGTGATGCAGAATATGAACGTTGGGCATTACGCAGCGACAGCAATGATGGAGGAAGAATGATCGCTTTTCAATTGATTTTGAAGCTTTGCACACTCATCTGCTGCTTTTGGAAAGTGTTGTTGTATCATTACTACTACACTTTTTCTTGTTTCATGTTTTTGATTATTGGTTCCATCATTATAACCCTTGTTTGAAAAATCGCTAGGCGCTAGTCGGGCGCTCGGCATGGGCCTAGCGATTAATCGGAAAATCGGATTAAAATCAGGGATTAATCGGGGATTAGTTTTAGGGTTATTTTAATATTTTTAAAATATATTAATCCAATATTGTAAAAATTTATGATTTTTATTACAAATTTATGATTTTTATTAAAATTTGAACACAAGTTATTGTAAAACATCACAAACTCCCCATTCAAATGATTGAATAACAAAAATAAAAGGTTTTTTTTATACTTGCAATCTAAAAAATAATCGGGATATATAAGATAAGGTGGAAAATAATCGGATTAGGTGGGAAGTAATCGGATTAGGCGGAGAATAATCGGGTTACTGATTTTTTAGGGGATTAGTCATTAATCGAGGCGGATAGGGTGGGCCTAGCGATTAAGCGGGGATTAATCGGGGCTAGGCGGGGATTTTTAGAACAGGGATTATAACCAACACTTAGAAATCTCTTTTCACATAACAATTTTCGACCGTCTGAGTGTATTCCTATTATTCAACAGTTGTTTCTGTTAGTGATTGACCATTTGTATTTTGAGCTGAGACTCGAAATTGTCTCTGAATAATTTTGTCACATGATCTTACTTTCAAGTTGGGTTCGAATTTTTAGTTTTCGGTTTTATAGTAATTTAGCCTATGTACTGTTGACAAACAAAATTGTCACGTTTCACTTTTTGACTTTTTCAATAAAAGTTATCCAACAGAAGAACAAAAGATTTAAAGCAACAAGTTCAACAACAATAATATTTACTAGGCCTGGGAATTTGAACCGAACCGATTTGTCCGAACCGAACCGAACCGAGATTTGGGCAAATCGGTTCGGTTTCTATTAATTAGGTCAAACCGATCGGAAAGACATAATATTATTTCGGTTAACCGAGATTTTTCGGTTCGGTTCGCCCGAACCGACCGGTTAACCGAAAAAAACAAAAAAAAAAACCTAACCTAATATTCCTAGCCGCCTAACCCTTCTTCTTCTTCAATTCTTCTTCGATTCTTCATTTTTTTTGGTCTTCTTCGTTTCATCATCACCATCATCTTTTTCTTCTCCGATTAGTTTTTTATTTCTTCGATTCATCATCATCATCATCATCATCATCTTCTTCTTCATCATCACCCTTGAGATCTTTCGCTGCCCCACATAAATTGTTAGTTATTCTCCTTCAACGCGTAGAAATTCCAACGACAGAACGTGTTAGTTCGCATGATGTGGCGAACATCTGTTGTATCTCGTTTCTCTTTAAGGAATCTGATGTCTCTTCTTTCATCTCTCTGTCACCCTTGAGATCTCGCCGCCGCTGATCTCTTCCTTCATCTCTCAGTCGCTTTTTCTCTGTCGACACAACTTTTTTTTTCTTTTTTTGGGTTGGCAAAAGACTTATTTTGTGCAAGCCCACGAAAATAAGCCCATAAAAAATTGTTTTGACCCAAATATTTTAAACCGAAATAACCGAGTAGCAAAAACCGAATAAACCGTGTCTGAACCGAACCGAACCGAATTATTAGTCGGTTCGATTCGGAATAGGTTTCAAATTCCGAATAAACCGAGAAACCGAAGAACCGAACCCGAATTAACCGTTCGGCTCATAATCGCAGGCCTAATATTTACGAAGCAAATGCTCCTCCAAATCACTTGTACTTGTGGCCAAAATGAAAAAAAAATAACTAGTTTCCAAGGCCATCTTGGGATATCAAACTTCCAAAGGCCTGAGAAAAAGTTGGTACCGTCCAAAGCCAATGTTGTGGCACAACGAATCACATCTTATAATATGTAGCTTAATGTGAACCAACAGGGATCATCTTCAAGGCAGCAGCAACAGGCATGCCAAGGAACCCTAGCATGATGCTAACCAACCATTGTCCCAAACTTAGTGGTGTTGTATCCGCAAATGTACCCAGCAGCTCGATTATGATTACTTGGAACACCACTGTACATGTTAGAACCGCTACGAATACATAGTTCTTTAGTATCCCCTTGAACACATCAATCTTTTCCATTTCCCTCGAGCTAATTTCATTGAATACCTGAAAAAAAACATTATGATGAGAACGTGGTTATGGTCAATGTTGGTTGTTTCTTTTTTAAGACTCAGACGCAGCAAGTTACCTGGCAGAAGACAAAAATGTTGAAAATAAGGGTATTGAGTGTTAGATCAGAGTCGGGGCCATCAAGACCAAACATTGTCTTTCCCTTTGTTTGAAGACACCATATGATGACAAGCTGGTACAGTGACTGACCAAGGATGTTCCTCCACATTACATTACTTATGAAGTTTCCTTTCCTTCCCACTGGAGATCTCTTCATCAGATCGTCCTGTGGTGGTTCAGTCGCTAGCGCGAGCGCTCCAAGTGTGTCCATTATCATGTTAACCCACAGTAGTTGGACAGCTGTCAGAGGCGCATTTCCTGAGACCCACAGTAGTGATCAACGTAATAGAGAAGTTAGTTGGAATCCCTGAGGAGATTAGTCTTTTAAACAAGAGAAAAAGAAATGTGGGTTTGGAACTAACCAGTGAGGCAAGCTGATAAGAAGTTGACAATAAGAGCCACAACGTTTACTGTCAGCTGGAACTGGACAAATTTCTGAATGTTTATGTACACAGAACGGCCCCATTTGGCCACTGTGACAATCGTCGAGAAGTTATCATCTAGGATAATCACATCCGCACTCTCTTTTGCCACCTACGTAAAATTGGAAAATAGGATATGTAAATGTTGTCCTTCCATGAGAATCTTAACTCTAATGTTATCCGAGTGTTAGATTTTCTCATAAACCAGAAAACGAAATAGGGACAATGAAGATGGAGTACACACCTCAGTTCCAGAAATGCCCATTGCAAGTCCAATATCAGCTTCATGAAGTGCTGGAGCATCATTTGTTCCATCTCCCGTCACTGCAACGACTTCCTGAAACATTGTACGGAGGAGTCTCACCAAAGTATGCTTATCCATAGGCGACGATCGTGCCATCACCTGCAAGAAGGAAATTATACTTGAATTCCTTGTAGAAGAGTATGTCCTAAGGAATTTGTCAGAATCCGGAAGCTAATGCAAATGAAATTGAGGGTTTGTTTCCTGTTTGCGAATCAATAAGTTATGAAATACCAACACACACTGCACAAATCAGGATAATCCAATAGAAGTAACTTGTGTTTGGTAGACAATCACCTGCAATTTTGGGATTAGCTTGAGCAGTTCCTCATCACTTTTCTCCCGGAACTCAGGACCTTCGATAGCTATGCCATCATCAGTCAATATGCCACACTCCCTGGCTATGGCCTTCGCAGTAGTAAGGTTATCTCCGGTCACCATTCTGACAGTGATGCCAGCAGATTTACAAATCGCAACAGACTCCTTGACACCAGGGCGTACAGGGTCTTTGATGCCCACAATTCCTATACAAGTGTATCCACCACTTGGAATAGGAGCCTCTAATGAGAATTCATCACCAATTTCGAAATAAGCTAGGCAAAGAGTTCGAAGTGCTTCACTAGCAAATTCCTCAATTATGTTCTTTAGGTGACCGGTAGATTCTTCATTAAGAGGGACAACTTCACCATCTTTGTTGATGTACTTATCACAAGAATCTAAAACTATCTCAGAAGCACCCTTACAATGCGCCCGGAAATGTCCTTCAGGCAGCTCAATGACAACTCCCATTCTTTTCTTTGTAGAGTTAAAGGGCTCAACTTTCACAACATTTGAGGCTTGTCTTACTTCTTGGAAGTCCCCTCCGAGTGACAACCCAAATTCTAACAGAGCAGTTTCTGTGGGAGTTCCCAGTATCTCAGTTTTGTTTCCTTTGCCCACAACAATCTCACCACCAGTGTTGGTAAATATAGATTGCAGTAGAAGTTTAACAGCAGACTCAGGGATACCAGAGGCAAATTTCATAGCAGCATCAGAAACATTAACCTCTTTGGCTTGCTCACAGATGCAGGCTTTTACAACTGTCATGTGATTTGTTGTAAGAGTTCCAGTCTTGTCACTACAAATAGTTGTTGCAGATCCCATTGTCTCACAAGCAGCTAGATTTCGCACTAGCGCTTTGTCATTCATCATCTTTTTCATGGCAAAAGCAAGACTTAGTGTCACAGCCAACGGCAGACCCTCTGGGACTGCAACCACAACAATTGTTACAGCAACAGCGAAATATTCCAGCATTGCCATCAATTCATCACCTGTCCAGATCCAGTGAGAAGCATCTAAGCGCTTCTGATTAGCCAATCCTTGAACCAAAACAGCGAACGTAATGACAGCAAAAAATAGACCTATTTTACCAATGATGGTTGCCACACCATTAAGTTTTACTTGCAAAGGTGTCTCATCATCGCCGCCTTCACTTAGTGTAGCCATCAGTTTACCCCATTGAGTCCTCATTCCAACTGTGGTCACCAACATTTTGCAAGATCCATCCTGAACCTTGGTACCAGAGAGAAGAAACGGGTGTTCCACACTGACACTAACCGGTTCACTTTCTCCAGTCAAGCTCGATTCATTTATAAGAACAGAAAAACCTGAGATAAAAAGCCCATCAGCCGGAATTTGGTCTCCAATGCCAAGGTGAACAACATCGCCAGGCAGTAGATCATATATTGAGATTTTTTGCCTCAGTTTGTCTCTGGTAACCTGAACCACAATCTTTTTCTTCTCTGCATCCAGGTCCTTGAATTGCAGGGATTGCTTATAATCACTAGTGGCAGTGACAAACACAACAAGCAGAATACTCGCCACTATACCAAGTCCGTCATGGGCACCGATAGGCCACCCTTCCATCAGTATTCCAACTATAAGTGATACAAACGCACATGCAGCTAGAATCATGAGGGTGGTATCCT